CTCTCTGGGGGTTGTGGTTGGCTGTGGTCCCGGGGCCCCTCCTTTACTTTGTATTCGTTGGTCTCCGGTGTATGTCAGTTATGTTCAGTACCTCCCTTTAAGTTTCCCCATTGGATAGCTGGGCTCCCCTCCTCTCTCCTCCCCTTCCCTATAAAACCTTGTCGCTCCCCCTGTTCGTGGCCATTTTGCTGGTTGGTGCCCCTCCTTGTTGGTGCCTCCGGATCACCCAATAAACCGACTGTTCACCCCCAGCAAGTGGTCACCTCCTTATTCGTCTCGCGTGCGCAACTCCGAGCTCTTCCTCCAGCCCAGCCTGAGGCCAAGACGCCGAAGGGGGCTGGCTTCTTATGCGCAGGGGCGTTGGCCTTCTCACCCCTCGTGCTAGCCGGATCTAGGGCCGCGTACGCCCTCGCGCATACCTTCACTCTGAGTTTCCTATGGGCAGCACCACACAGGACTGCCCTCTTCCTTTAGCACACCACAACACCCATCCTCAGTGCAGCCAACAAACTCCAACCGTCCCTCAACCAGCCACCCGCTCTTGTATAACACCCATCCTTATTGGATACAGCTGTGACCTATTGAAGGCAAGGCTGTTCCCACTTGTTGGTAATTAGCACAGCTGCAATTTATCAGGGGCGAGTTTACCTTCAGCACTATCTCTATTCTCTCACAACCCATCCTCCTACAGTGGGGGCTCCCTAGAAATAAGAGCTCCTACAATATTTGGTGATGCATAGCTTCCTTGAGTTGGCAAAAATTTTCCTTTTCCTTTTCCCTTTTATTACATGTAAGGAGGCAATCCATGTTCCTTAGAGGTGTAAGACTGTTGTTATTTTGCAGCTTTCTCTACAAGACTGTGTGAGACATGGCAATATTGTGAGCATGATCAGCAGCATCAGTGTGAACATCTTGGTGTGTTTCACCTTCTGTGTGGACAAAATGGGGAGGACAGCTTTTTCTTAGATTGTATGAGTATATAGTATGTGACGGTGTTCACAGGGGTCTTAGGATGTGAGAAGAGACAAGAATGTTGACTCCATGTTTCAGAAGGCTCATTTTATTATTAAAATATATATTATGTTAAAACAATACTAAAAGAATAGAAGAAAAGATTTCATCAGAAAGCTAGCTAAGAATAGAAAAAGAATGATAACAAAGGCTTGCAACTGACTGAGACAGTCTGGACAGCTGGACTGTGATTGGCCATTAATTAGAAAAAAACACCTGAGACCAATCACAGATCCACCTGTTGCATTCCTCAGCAGCAGATAATAATTGTTTACATTTTATTCTTGAGGCTTCTCAGGAGAAAAAATCCTAAAGAAAGGTTTTTTCATAAAATGTGTCTGTGACATGTACTAGTTGTGAGAGCGTCTAGAGAACTTTGAGTAGGGAACCAGGCTAATGGTAAAGTCATGGACAGCCTCATAATTTCTGACTTGCATTTGCTGTAGCAGTACCATTTTCACTTTTTTTTCTCTTAGTCTGCTTTCCTTTTCTCCCCTTTCCTGGGGTCATTTCTCTGCCTCTCCCTGAAATCATTACCCTAGGTGCTGCAGATTCTCCAACCTCCCTTTTTCCCCCCTCTTCCTAGTCAGTGCATTTCTAATCTTGCTCGATCCTAACAGGTGACAAAAGGCAGAAAAAAAAATGCAGTCAGCAAAGCTCATTGCTAATACTTCAAAAAGAATATCCCCTCCTGCATCCCTAGGTCTTTATGTGTTATTATCTGCAAAAGCAATAACAAGAGGCAAGGGCTGGGCAGCCAGGAGCTTGGGATGAGCTCTTCAGACCAAAACAGAGGAGAAATACAAAGTCTGCTGTCACTTGCTGCCTGTTGACCTAAGCTGTGACCTACCCTCAGTCTGCCTGTGTCTGAGACCGCAGTCTGACCATAAATCTCACAGGCTGTCCAGGTGCCTGAACACCTGCAGATAGGTGTATTTCAGCAACAGGGTTCTGCAGGCTCCTGGGTTTTGTAAATGATCTTTCTAGACCTGTCAGACCTTGTGGCTGGGCTAAAGATCTCCATCCATCCCCATTTCATGTCTGAAACTACTCAGGTTTGAATTTTTCCCCTGACATACATGGTCTGGTTGAATTTCTTATGAAAAAAGATTTATTTAAATTTTAATAAACCGTTTATTTTATAGCATTTTCCCCAGGATTTGCCCCAGATACCGAAATGTCAATTAACTTGACAATAAAGCCCTACCAAAAATAAAATAAAGCTTTTTTTAAACAGTCAAACAATCATTTAAATTATAAATTAAGTGGAACTAAGATTATTCCCTGTATTTTCACTAGTACAAGAACAGCTGAGAATTAATTGGATTGGTTTCTCTTCAAACTGATGGAGGGGGTTCTAAAACATCCTGCTTTAAATCTCCATTAAACAGTTTAAGATGTATTCAGTGGAGCCAGGCACTTAATTTCTAGCCTGCAGAGGTTCCACAAAGATTCTGGGAGCCACTTAAACACTGGAAAGATGTAGGTTTTCTTTGTGGAATTACCTTTGATAATCAGGCTGACTTTCTTCCCTCGAGATGGGTAATCAAACTAGCAGGAAAAATGTCTGTCTTGCTCCTCGGAGATGTCCCAAAACTGTAAGAAAGTGAGCAGGTTGTTTCCTGAGTGCTAGTCAGCTGGGCAAGAGCCAGCAGCTGGAAACTGCTGTGATGTACTGGAATAGGGATCATCCAAAGAGAGCACAAAAATGTGACTGTGAGAGACAGTGAGCAAAGGGAAATAGATATTTCAAACTTTTCTGGTCACTAAGGATTGTAAAAGCCTTTTGGCCCTAATCCACAAGCTAAAGAACAGCTTTCTCTGAGGGTTATATGTATTTTTTTCTCTTCCATGTTGAATTATATAGGATTATTCTAGTTGCTCAGCCTTTACACAGGCTGTGTTGCCCTAAGGGACGTAAGCTCAGCCAAGGGTATTTGGATGCAACAGATAGATTAGTTTGTATGACTTTGTTTAGAACTTCTCTTCAGCTGCCTACTGGAGGGACAGGGCTGTTTGTTCATATAGTTGCTCAATTGTTTGGTTATGCTTTTTTTTTAGATTTTAGTTACACTTCAGATGGTTTGCAACCAGTCCAACTACTGTAAATTACTGTTCCTGCATTTGTGTGAAGTATGTAACTGTCAGAGGGCTTTTGACATTTGTAAAATTAAAATGCCTGTAATTCATAAGTCACAAACATTCACTGATAGCCTCATTAAAAGGTGCAGCTTTTGAAATATCTAGGTGTTCTACAAGTCCATTTCAAAATGGCACTGCTTTATGGCATCTAACATTTTAATGTACTACTCTTTATTCCCCTGTTTCAACAGCAGTATTCTAGAAGGTTTAACAAAAGGCAAAAAAATTCTTCAGAGCTACAATTATATCCTTTTCACACCTTTTCCACCTTTCTACCTTTGCTACATTAAGATATTGCCTCATTTGCAGCAAGTTACATAAATGGTAATACTTAGAGGTTCTTGTAATAGCCAGACAGGACTAAGAACCTTTTTTACCTGTTTTACCTTTGGCTTTTAATTTCTTGGCATATTTCTGTTCAGAGATAGACCCCCTGGAGGAATGTTTTCAGTATTCCATACTGGCAAATACTTGTAAGTGTGCACACAATTACAGCTCATTACAACAGTGGGAGTCATTTGCCTGCCTGCTTTCTCAGCCTTCGTGTTGAAATGAGACTTCACTGTTGTTTTTTGAATGATAAAAAAGGGAGAGGTTTATGCCAACATTATCTATACTCAGAGAATTGTATGCATCTATGGCATTCTCAAATGTGCATGCCAAATATGTAGTGACAAGGGGACATCAATATCACATTAGACAGTTTCAACAACCACGTTATGACTTCAATTGCTGTATGCCTACAAGGTAATATTTTGTTGCATTCACTTATATACATTAAACTGCCTTTTATTTTATTTGTGGGACTCTGATCAAACTGGTAGTTTTTAAATCTCTCTGTGATTAAGCACCAAAAGAACAGTAGGGACTAATTTCTGTTGCCTAAATGCCATTTAGTGCCATTTGAAATGCTCAAGGATACCTGGGGCATTCAGATGGGGCTGGCAGCTACAACATCAGATAGAGAAATGCAGAAGTGCTGTTCTGGAATGAGACCTGAATGCCAGATGGCATACCCTAGAGCATCTCAATTGCTTCTACATGCCTATATGTGCATAACTGAAAGGAGAATGCAGTGAACTTTCAGGCAGTCGTTTAATTTAAGCTACTCTGCCTAAAAGTGATGCCTACATTCACAGTATGCATTCACTGAAGAGAATTGGGATCGCAGAATATTCTGAGCTGGAAAGGATTCACAAGCATCAACAAGCCCAGCTCTTATCCCTGCACAGGACATCCCTAAGAGTCACACCATGCGCCTGAGAGTGTTGTCCAAACGCTTCTTGAACTTTGTCAGGCTTGGTGCTGTGACCACTTCCCTGGGGAGCCTCTTCCAGTGCCCAACAGCCTTTTTCTAACAGCCAACCTGAACATTCCCTGACACAACTTCAACCATTCTTTTGCCAGAGGGCACCAGAGAGAGGAGTTCAGTGCCTGCCCCTCCACTTCATCTCACAAGGAAGTTGTGAGAAACTGGCTTTTTGGCAGAAAATACTTAGTCCATAGAAGCCTCTAGTTATTTTTCTATTTCTATGAAATAAGCGGTGAATATACGCATTTAGATCTGGATTTATCTGTCATAGATTTAACTATCTAAAGACTGTGACCATTTATGGGACTTTAATAGTTGGATTAAACTCAAATAGCAACTGCTATTTGAGATCACTTAGAACAATCAGTACAGTTGCATGGGCATGGCCGATGAAACACAGGACCTGTGGGAAGCTTGCACCCTCTTGAAACAGCAGCTGAGCAGGCCACTGACAGATCCTGTGCTGTTTCAAACGGTGCTAGATCATTGTGTTGATGCCTTAAGTTTTAGCTTTTATATTTTCCAGATCAGTACGGCTTTAGTATGTAATTATAAAACTCCATAGCCTGTCAGCTCATTGTAGGAGGCAACTGGATTGGTCAAACATGATTTCCCTTTTATAAATTCATGCTGACTACTCCCTATCCCTTTCTGTTCCTTTATGTACCTGGAAATAGTTTCCTGGAATTGTTGTTTCAACACTTTCCCAGCAATCAAGGGGAGGCTGGACAACCTGTAGTTCTCCAGATTCTTCATTTTGCCCTCTAGGACAACAAATAGAAGTGATTCCTTTCTTCCAGTTCTCAAGAAGCCCATGGTCACCATGACCTTTCCAATATAGTAGAGGCTGGCCTCACAGGGACACTGGTCAGTGCATGCCTCCCATGAAATCACTTGTGTATGCGTAATTAATTTCTGTGCTCCCTTCCCTTATTAATGAGGGAAAGGCTTCCTTGCTCTAGACTTTGTCTCTTGTCTCATGAACTTGAGATTCCTGAATGTCAGTGTTGACAGCATAAACTGAGGTGAAGAAGGTTGTGGCCTTTTCA